TTGGCACATTGTTACATTTATTCACATGCCGTCCAGACGGTATAGTTTTTAGGGAAGTTGACTACAATACCGAAGGGCCAGGGTTCGAATCCCGCAGGGATGTAAATTGTCTGTCCCCTCACAGGAGGTAACGATGGTCGCCTATTAGGCTGCTTCCACAATACAATGACCACCACTTCTTGTCTTAGGAGTGGCCAATGCTAAAAAAAAGGTAAGTGCCCGCTGTTCGATTTAAAAAAAAAAAAAAAAAAAACATTTATTTACACGTGAAGAATTTTCATTCTTTTTTCTTGTTATTAAACTTCTGTTGAATCTCAGTAGCCCAAACAATAAACTGACATTTATCTTGATTATTTAGACTACTGAGTTACAATTTTGAAAGTATAATCCTGTATAATTTCGTTGTAGAGGAAAAGGATTATTTCTGAAAACGTGCTACAGCGAGGACTGCTACAAATTCTTAAAATAAGCAGATAGAATAATAAATTGCCTAATAACCGTCGGGGGAACTTTTCAGTTGGGGGGGATATTACTTCAACTGATGTAATTTTTATAAAAAAAAAATTAAATGCACAGTTTTTAAAGTAACAAAATTTTGATAAGTGTTTTACCGATAGTTATTCTACATTCTAGATCTTATTCGATGGCTAAGAAAAAGAGTCAATGCTGTAAGCGTAAAAGGTTTTTATGATAGCAGTCAAACTACAGAGGTTTAGCAACCTGGGTTTCAGTAATTAAAGAAGTCAGACATTCTGGATCAAAGCAAGGAATCACTCACTAAGAATTCGACACAGATTTCTCTGTCTTGCATCCTTGCACAGAAATATCAATGAATTTTTAAGTTTTTAGTTCAATTTTAGTCAGTTGTTATTCAGTTCATTTTTAATTTATTCATTTACACATAAGGTCCTTTCCTGATTTAATTTTTGAATAATTTTACTAGGCTTTATTTGCGTTAACAAATCATTTTAAAACTCTTTTATCTTTCCTAAAGGTAAAAAGAAAGACGACAAATTCTGCAAAAAATACATAAAATTAGCAGCTTTGCGTGAGCAATAATTATCTCAACGAGTATAATCACGACAAGCATGGGCTGGAACTTCAGGGAAAAAATGTATTTTCCCATTTCTACTATTTCGCTAACTTACATTTCTACAGTTTTATTAATTTGATGCTATCAGTTAGCAGTCAAGTACAGAAATTTAGTTTCCAAGTGAAAAGACTGAATTTTCTTCCAGAGCGGTACAACCAGCAACAATACCTCGCGTTAAAGACAGTTTCGATCTTGGTATGGTTTTTACATACAAATTATCTAGGATTATACTATCATTGTTTTTAATGGAATTACGTTAGTTTCTTCTGCATTAAGGGAAATTTTGATAAAAGAAGCATTAAAACAAGGTGGAACGCTTTTAGAAGTCAATATTTAAAAAAAATGCGAGCTAACTTAATTTCCAGTTACATTATTGCTGAAGGCCCCCTATTATTATAGTTTCATAAATATGAAAGTTACAGGTCCAATTTTAACTGTTTGATTTCCAGGAACTTATTAAAAATATTGCCAAAAAACGCTAAGTAGCATAGCATTTGCTTATACTAAAATATTGCTTGCTTTTAAAAATTAAGAATTTTTGCATTTTACACGTGTAATCAAAAATATTTGACCAAAAGTAATTAAAATCAAGGCAACTAGGAACATATTATTTACATCAGTGGTTCTCAATATTCTGACTAATGAGTACCATCTAAACAAAAATTGAAAACCTGTAGTACCACCACTACAAAGTACCACCACCACTCTTGAACAAAGCTCAGATTGCATAAATTTACGATTGTTAGAGAAAAAACTCAATCAGGATGTTGCGGTTTTAATTTTTGAATTTAATAGCTAAAAATACTTTGCTTATTTGCGTACCACATATTTTTATCTTGCATACCACCGGTTGAGAACCCCTGATTTATATGATTTATATGAAAAAAAGTGACAATGGGGAGAACAATTATCAGTTAGATAGAGTGAGTAGATTTCGGCGGGCTCCAAACGCATCATCAGTTCCTCATTGTAGTCAAATAAAATGTGAACAAACGCAATTGCATAGCAAGAGATTCGGATAGTCAACATGGATTGAATATTTCTTTTACTGATGATCAAAAAGACGTTGGAGTTTGTTTCTATATTTATTATATTTCTTGTTTGTCTTATTTACATAACATCTCACAAAAAAAAAATTCAGAACATAAATTTAAATTTCACTAAATTCCCAAATTTAAAATAAATATTAACAGTACTTGTAAAAATTGTTAAACCTAAAAGAAAATTTCGTAACAGAAATACTGTTTTTTCGATTTCCTTCCACACCAACTTAAAAATTAGACAAAACCCAAGATTAAACTGACATTAGTTTATAAAGAAAACCTCTGTGTATTTCAAGGAAATTTTACGCCTTTCCTTGTTATTTAAGAAGCCCAAACATTCTTCCCTTATCTCATAATTTTTAACTTATTATCTTTACATTTTATTCAAAAACTGATGATATTATGACAGTTTCTTTTCTTCTATTTATTTATTTTAGCTTCGTCTATTTAAACAATGCATTTCAGGCAAAATGATATAAAAGTCATATTTCAGAAAAGTTTTACTCCTTGGAAAAAAGAGGCCAGTGTTAGATTCCCTCAAAAAGCATAGAGATTTGGCATAAAATTAACTCCAATATAAGCTTTGCTTTGTTTAAATTTAGCGCACACAGATCTATATGCTAATCAACCTTCCTACAGGAACTTCATATCTAAATGTTTCATATCTAATGCTTTATATCTAATGTTGGTCTTAATGCTTTTAAAGAGCAATAATATGGAAATGGATTGTACAGAAATCCATATAGTTTTACTCCAAATATAAGCTCAAAGGTCCCCCCCCCCCAATTTCAAATTTTACATTGGCATGTTTCTCATCCATTAAGAAAAACTATCTTTTTACATATTTTCTATTATTATTTTTGTTAAGTTAAACGCAAAAGTTCCTTACAAATACTTTATTTTGATTTCTGTTAAATTAAATGCAAAAGGCCTTTATGAAAATAAAATGTAATCTCGAAATTATTTTTACTTTGCTTTAGTACATTGCATTCAAGTAAAGACAACTCTTTGCTCACTAATATGAAAAAAAATCGCATAAGAAATCGCAAACTTCACTGAAAGTTGATAAGAAATGTGTTGTTATGTGCACTGTACTTAAATACATATTCATTGCGAGTAAGAAAAGAATACATATAAAGTCTTCAAGATGTTTATTTTTTCAAACATTAAATAAAGACAGATTAATTCTCATTACAGCTAAACACATTGGGTGTACAAAAAACTGCAAGCCTATCTACAGGATATAACAGTCTCTTCTGTTAACATTCTTAAACTACACATTTATCACATTATATTGTGGTTGTTATTAATATGTGATGACATATCATTGAATTAATTGAGATAAATGTATGTGACATGCTTATTAACTAACAATAAATTATTATTCATTATAAGGTAATTCAGACAAACAACCCTAACGTGTTTTGCCATAATCAAATAAACCAAACCTCCAGCATAAACTAATAAAGATATGATGTCAATTCATCTAAATTAATTTAAACTTCTTAAAAATAAATACTATGCTGGCTTTTTGTGCTATTTAAAACAAAAGACAATAAATAAAAAGCGCAAATAAATTAACAGAAAAGTTAATTTTATCTGCCTACGGAAGAGGAACAGGAAATCCGGATACCCAGAGTTATATAGCATACTTAAAAAAAGTCAACTATCTTAATGAATAATAATTGCTTTAAAATATATATTAAAATGTGAAACTTACTTATATATCGTAGCTTAATGCGGAAATGGGAATTATTTTTAACTCTCTGGAAGTTTTCAAAATGTAATCAAAGGTTTCCCCTTTATAATCAAAATGTTAACTAAAAGTTTTTTCTCCCTCTCTTTAAGCATGCCTTCGTGGTGTAACGGTAGCACGCTCGACGCATATTCGAGAGGTCTAGGTTAGAGTCCTGGCGAGGGAATTGCTCATTTTTCATGTCTCCTGCTCACAAAAGAAAAAATATTACCCTAAATACTCTACAGTGGGGCAGTTGTTCTTTCACTTTTACACTTTTATTCGCAGAGAAATTTGGTGATTAGGATGTCACCTATTTTAAAATGACGAAGCATTTCATAATTTCCATTAATTATTGAGGCTGTTTTTCTCAACCAGGGATATTAGCGCACGATAAAAGAGCTAATCAGAGTTTGTTTTTCTTTATACCATGACAAGTACCAAATTTTCCTGCTAAGGCTTTAGATGGAAGTTAATCGTAAAATACTCCTGATTCATCACCTAACACGCTTTTTAATTCTCAATCTTTTATTAAGTGTAGCAAAATAATATTTTTCAAATGACCCCTGTGACCTTTTTAACTTTATGCAGCTATTCTAACAAAAATAAGGCATTATTTATGATGATGATGCTGATAACTGAAAAAGAGTATTCACGTTATCAGAGATTTCCTATGTTTTTCCTTATCATCCGTCCGTTAACTGGTAAATTAGAAGCATGACATTTTATATTGCTAAAATATAGTTAACTTTGTCTTGTATGCAATAAAAATTACAAGCAATACGTTCCGAAAATAAGAAAAATAACAGGCATCGGTACAACCGTTCAGGAAGTGCTCCAGCATGTAAAAGATGACAAAAAGTAATAACACGTGCGTCTCCCAAAAATGCTATCGTTTCCTCCATCCCCGTTACATGCATATCAATTAACGAAAAGTTAGTGCAGAAACTGAAATACTGTTCACCGCGTTCCAAATAAATTAGGGCTAAAGGGGAAAAAATTCCTCTCATCCCAAGTGAGCTTCCACCGCAAATATAAAAATAAAAAACAGAAAACGCGTAGCTGAGAGAACTACCCTATAGGGACCTTGAGACTTATTTACGCAACTCGCAAAAGGCGCAGAGAGTAGCGGAGCATGACGTCATTGTTATCAGTTATTGGTGGAAAAGTTGCCTGTTAGCCCATGTATTTCCTTCCAGCTGTTCGATTAGAGGTTCGTGCTGTTCTTAGCCTTAAAGCAAAATGGGTCAGATGAGATATAAAAGTGTAAGTACTGGAGTTTTTTACAATTAGTACAGTTTTTGTAATTGTGGACGTACTAGAAACTGCTTTTTCACTGCTTCTTGTCTAAGCATCGAAAATTAACTCGGTGCAAAATCTTGAACCGCTGTAGTAGAGCCTAAAATTAGCTGAAAATTGATTACTACCTGGTTCAAAGGTTATTTATGGTGTTATGCATTTTATACCCTTTTCTCAATTGCGTTATGAATTTAATTCTTTTTTTGAAATTACCGGCTGCGTATTGTGCCGCGATGGTACTAATGTGTTACAACATTTAGCTTTGCATTTGGAGATAAATAATTTTATTAAATGTATTCGCATTTGAAAAAATGCAATATTATTCATAATAATAGCAAACTTCCGATAACAGTGAGAACAATTTAAAATCTCTTGCGAGCGCGCTAATTCAATAACAGCTGAAACACTCCGCCGGTATGTTCTTCCCAGGAAAACCGGCTGTTTATTGTAATTGATCTTCAGTCAAGTGTTTCTCGATATCTTTTAAGGAAAAATTCAGTTTCAGTCTTAAGCTAAGCAAAAGTTATAAATAATGATAACTGACTCGTAATTAACAAAACCTTTAATAATTTTTCTTGTGCCTGCAGATTTCTTTTCAAAATTTTATCTGTGTTATATGTAACTGATTATATTTTAAATGGTCTTTGAAATTCTAAATGGAGCTTAATTTTAAAAATTGTTTTTAACTATTACTAAATGATTTTTTTCGTAATTGGTTTGAATTTAAGTAGATTCTCAAAGCAAATTTTTTATAATTTGTTATATTAATTATTTGCAGTTATTAAAATGTAGCCAAAATTATTATTATCATTATTTTAATTTGAAGCTTGATGAATTCGATTAGGAAAAGAATTAAGTTTTTAAACTCATAGTAATTTTCTCATTTTCAAGCGCTTTTAATAAAAAAATTCTGAGTGATTAATAAGAATCCTTAATGGGAAAATAAGTTTCTTCATTCATTTTGAATGTAGTTGGATGCTCAAAATTCTTTTTTCTAAGAAATTTTCGTTGCATATTTACGCATAAATTGCAATAATTTTTTAGGGTGCTGAATTTTGGTGAATTGTTGTGAGAAATGGGAACAAAGGTTAAGATTTCATATCCATTTGTGTCACTTTTTTTGGCTTGTTTAATATTTTTTTAGATATGATTTAAGGGTGCAAAGTTCATTAACATAATCGTTTCACAATAACGAAGGTAAAGTACTTTGGAAAGGACAAACTCCAATATCTTTCTTGATTTATTTAAAATGTAATAAGAGATAACTGATGAGAGAAAGTTATTTCGTCATTGACGTGGAATAAGTAATCTAAATGATGGACTTTCAGATATTTCTACGATGAAAATAGTTGGAATTATCACTTTGCCATATATATATAAGAAAGTTGATCTTCTAAACAAAAACCGTACGGTAACAAATTAGTCCGATCATAATCACTTTCTAACTTAACAAACAAGCGTTGGATAAGGATGATTTAGATCTCATAAAACAATATTTTTAATGCCAGCGGGCTTCTGGTAAAGGTTATTCAGACACTATTAAAGGTAGTTTCAGTGCAGGTGCTTAGAACCAAACTTTAGAGCTTTCGGTGTACTACTCTATCGCGTTGTCTCAGAACATAATTCGTGGGTGGATGCCGAGAGATGACTTTTCTAAAATCGGTCTGGTTCGATGACATGTCTAGAAAAGTGACGCAACTCAAACTATATCTCCAGTCATATCTTATAGTCTGAATGCTTGGATGTCTTTTTCAGGTGAGAAGTTTAAGCATTTCTGTGTAAGCATAGTTGATGAAATCTGTCATGAATCAACTACCTGCGAAAGGTACTGGTACAAAGGTAGGTTTCACTTCAGAATTATATTCTTTTTCTGAGATTATGAATTAACTGTTCCTTTTCAGAAATTGCATTTCACTGGTTATAATATATTTGTTTATTTGAGTTGTATAGCTTTTCTAGACAAACAGCTGTAAGCAATGGCTGAATTTATGCATCAATTATACTCATAATAACTACGTTGGTTTCCGAATAGGCAGTCTCACATTTCGTTAAAAACGCAATGCATCTGTAAATTATAAAAATGATCTCAGTCATTTTTTTAACTACGTTCAGTTGTTTGTTTTATGTTTTATATGCTTTTGTTTATTGAATATGGAGCAGTAACTTTTCGCGTGAGAAAGAGTAAAATTCGTGGGGCATCAATGAATGAATGTGAAATTTGGCGGACTTAATGCTAATCAAAAATAAGTAAGCCAATTGCGAGGTAGTAATGCTAGTACTTTGTACGTTGATTAAATAGCCATTATAATATATATTTGCAGGCTTGCTTCATAAACTAGTCATATTCAGGCAGGATAATACCAGAGTTATTCGTTAATTTAAAGATTTCAGGTAGTGGAATACTTTTTGTTTCATTAAATTATACGCCTACATATTATCATCTTCAGTGCAGTATCTTTTTCTTTGTAACACTTCTCTTGAATCTAGAAAATTATCATAAGGCAACAACACTGTTTACTATAAATGACATATCCTAGATCGTGTCATCAAGCTACCGAGGAAGATAACTTTTTTCTTATTCCAGAAGTCTATCAATCATTCGGTGGACCTGAAGTTGTAGGAAGTAATTCAAGGTTCAGAATTTTGGTTTCAGTTTTATAGTAGGATTATGGGTCTATTCACTTATTTATTTTATATTTGCAAAATCTTAAGACAGTCCTTTAAAGTTGGTAAAATAATTATTGGAATTCGAATTGTAAAAAAAAAATTACTGCTCTAATTACTCCGTACCTATTAATGTCCCTAATACGATCTTTATTTGCGCAGTCGTTGGTCGTATACATGTACTTCCAGTTTCATAATGAAGGCAAATGCTGATGTAAGGACATTTTAAAACTTAAAAACCAATTTGTAAAAACTGTCTGACTTTTTATGAGGCTCCTCAGACTCAATACTTATATTCAATTAACGCTTATACTCATTCTAAACTATAAAGCACAAAACGTTTGACTACCGTACGACAAAGATTGCTCGAAATGTTTAATGTTAAAGTTTGAGATCGTTTTCAGGGGTCGTAATCAAATTAAAGAGAGAAATATTTAAATTTTTACACAATTAAATGTGAACTATCAGTTCAGAAAACGTTTCTCAACAGATTAAGTGACAAACTGTCGTGAAACATTTTGAACAATACAAATTTTTCCAAAAGGGATACCTTATTTGCAAATTCTTATAGAATTAATTTTCTAGGAAACAGTGACCGCTTCAGTATTGGCACAGAACTAATTCATAACCGTACTTTCATAAATTAAAAAAGAAAGCAATTTCTATTCTAATGAATTTTAAAGACTATTAGACTATGATTCTAACGTAAAAAATTGAATGTCAGCGTAATTAATTCATTTATAGCATTTAAAAACTTATAACCTACTTATGTGAAAATGCTTTCGGCATATCAAAAGTAACAAAATTATAAATTAAAGAATGTTACACACTAGTAAATCACAAAGGACTATCACTGAATAATATTAAAGTGGAAAACCAATCTGTATTTATTCTAATTTATTTTCAACGTACCCTTTAAAGAAAGCCGAAAAAATCTCAGTTACTGAATCTTGGTCAATTTCTACCGCACGGATTTCAGACGTTTTGTATTTTGTTTTTATTAATATAAACTTTTAATAAACATAACTATAAGGATCGGAGGACTGTATAAAAAGTTACATTTTGGAATTTTTACAGAATTGTCTCTTTTAATTTAAAAATACCAAAACATGTACCAAAAAATACTAAATATGTAAAAAATACCAAAATGTATAAAAAATACAAAGTACTATTTACGTCATTTAAAACATTTTTGTAAGTTGAAATATATGTTTTCGATCAAAGGTTGCGAAAATACAAGCGGCATAGGGACTTTTTACGGCCGCGTTGTATATACAGTTACCATAACACGGAGATGAAAGTGAGCGTATACAGCAGTAGTTATACATTGTTAAAACTTGAGGAAAAGCATATATGATATTAAATTTGGCTTTAATGCACGGTGTATGACAATTAATAGCTAACTTGTATTTACTTTGTCATTTCTTAATTTTTGTCTCATCTGCTGTGTTCGTGAGCGTAAAATATCAATGAATACAAAAATCTTACAAAATTCATTTAGTCAAGAGGTCTTTTAAGGTAAGTAAGCAATGAAACATAACAGAGAAAGCAAGGCTTATCTAGTATTTTTGAGAGATTGTTTCGCAAGAGGACTTTCTTTAGGAAAGCCTCCAGTATGCCAGTTACTACCTGAGGAAATCCATGAAAATTCCTGGGCAGCCAGCCCGTTCCACCAGGAATCAAACCACGAAAGAAATGTTCAGTTTTCTGTTGGTATAATGCCTCTCCCACTCTCTGAAAATCACTCGATCTGTGGTATTTAAAACATTACTCTTTGCGAGTGATGTTTGAAACAAATCCGGTTATAAATAAGATCAATGTTTTACGAATAAAGTTTACTAGTATTTAATGCTAATAAGTATGTCTTGTAAACGTTTCAGCGAATTTCTGGATGCTAAGTAAGGTACAAATTTCTAGACGCGTAGGAGTTAATAGACATTTCCATCTTTCCTTATGAGTAGAACAAAAGTTATTATAGTTTGTATTTATTTTTTTATGTTTTATTTTTATATATTTATTTACTTATTTATTGTTGCTTACGGTGTTGAAGCAAATTTTATTCTGAAAAATAAAACTTTTAGGAGGCATCTTATTCTCTGCTGAAACGATGCACCTGACTTAATAACGCTGGGATAGCTTCCGGCCAAGACGCTAACCAAACAGAATTGAAATACTTTCCTAGCGACGTGTGTCTAATTATTGCATTGTGAAATCTAGGGGTAGGGGGGCCTTATATTGGAAGGGGAGCCATATATTGGACGCTAGTATAAGTAAAAGTGGTTGCATAGTAGCAATTATAACAAAATACAGTTTGACGAACGTAGGCTCACTTCTGCAAGGCTTGCAGGATGTAAGATGTAGACATCAGTGGGGTTATAGCATGTTGTTTGTAATCAAGAACATTAAATTATTCATAGTTATATGATATCATATCAGTACGAAGCATGGGACATAGGCGCAACGTATTTTTATAATTAAGATTAAAACGTTGCATATAGTTGAGAATTAATATCATGGCGTAACACATTATTGTTACAAAATTGCATCTATAACTTGCTGCTACAAATTTAAACATGTCCAATATGAAGTTTTAACAAGAATATAATAAATTACCCAAACAATGAAATGTAAAAGACATGCAAGCTGCATTATATTTTCTTTGTAATACTATTAACTACACATCGTATATTATCGGAGCATTGCGAAGGAGAAAGCAAAGAAGAGATTTATAATATTAAAATATACATTGTAGAGTCATTAGGTTTTATCGGAGCAAGAAACAGAAAAATCAGCTATACCCATGTCGAAATTCGAACTGTTGGCCTTCCGATTGCTAGCCGGGCTTGTTTCAAATTACACCACGAAGGAATGCAGTAAGAAAATAGAATTTGTTTTAATTCTCTCTGACATGAAGAATGACTGGGAAGGAAGTGACCCAGTTACTAAATCCTGGTGGTGACAAATTATGGTACAGTGCTTGCCATTAAAATTGCTACACCAGGAAGGAAAGCAAAAAGTAGAATCGTATTTATTGTACATACACGGTATAATGGGAGAAAACATTATTAAATTTTCAGGTGCTTTCGGGTACACAACTTTCAGAATACAATACTCAGAGCATCCACATCTAGCAGCAACAGCAGCTGTTATCCAACTGGATAGCGAGTCGAACTGAGCTTAGAAGATAAGTACGGATATTTCATTCCATGTGGCTTCAGCTCTGTGCCAGAGTTCATTAACTGTAATGGCTGGCGAATGGTGGAGTGCCAGTCTCTCGAGAACCCATAACTAGATGTTCTCAGCGGGTGAGAGATCTGGAGAATGTTGTGGTCAGGGCAACAGTCGAATACGCTCTATCGAGGAAGGCCAAAACACCATGGGCAACATGCTATCATGCATTAAGTTATTGAAAGATGGTGTCACGCTGACCTCGAAGATAAGGCACAACTACGAGCCTTAGCACGTCAGAAATGTAACGGCGACTGGGCGTATTACCGGCTTTGCGAACAAGAGATGATGTAGGACGATGACGAATACAAGCTGGCAATGCTTGTTCTACCCGGTGCCTGCGCACATGAATACATCTATCAGAATGCTGTACATATAACAGAGATCATTCGTCACACCAATGTAGGCGCGCTTATCTCTCAGCCTCAGAAACCGTAACAATGGTCGCCATGCTGACAGTTTGTGGTACTGCAGATATTGTCACCCTGCGCACGAGCCAGATTCTTGACTCAGGATACATTAATTACATGGCTGAAGGATCCCTCAAGCCCAAAAGCATAACATGTGTTTCTTCTGAGGCGTTAGTGTACCGGGACCGTTAAGATCCTGCATGGCGTTCAGTATGGCCTTCGTGGACCCATCGATTTTATATTCGCCTTACAGTCATTAGATCCTGACCAGCATGAGCAGTAATGTTGCGCAACGATAAATCGCAGTCTCAATGACCACGATCCTGCCGCGGTCGAATTCCGACACGTTCTGATAGAAGTTTCTCCTTCTTACACGAAACATAACACGACCTTTACGCAAATAGCCAACCTTCCAATACGATTTCCGAATGATTGGCTGATCAGTCTTAAAACAACTACGAGTTTAACTGCATAAGGTTTTGCAGAAGTTTAACTGCTCTTGGCCATTGGCTGTTAAACGTTAAAACAAATACAGAG